GTCTACATAGACTTGAATGAATCCACCACGATTTTTTGCCTTAAAAATGGCCAACTTTGGAGGTATTTTTCAGTACCTGTTTTAATACAGCAGTAACTTTTGAAACTTGATTTGGAATTATCCATATCTGCCTAAAATATTCATGCAGTTTTATAGCTGTAAACCCTGTGAAGATGGAGATATATGCAATTAAAGATGATAGTATCAAAATTGGACTTTGGGGGGAGGGGTGTTATAAATGGGTGCGGCTCGCCCAAGCAGGGTCTTATCTGAATTCTACATGTATCTGTGGCAAGCCAAATGATTGTTTTCAATGATTGTAAGGTCTAATATTTTTTAGTTTTCTCCATTTTTGTTTAATTTACACAAAATATATCATTATTTTTCCAAGGTAAAAATGGAGTCTCAAAGAGGCTACATAAGCCATGACTTATAATAGGCTATAATTCTCTGAAGAAAGGGTATTTTTGGGATTCCTTCCTAACTCATGAATAACTTCCTAATATGCCTCCATACAACAAATTTGGTTGAAATCCGCTGACCCCCACCTTGCCACCCTGGGCTGGTTCTCTCGTGGACAAGCTCTTAAAAATATCTTCATGTGTCTGTTTGCCCTTAGGCAGGCAGTCAAAGAGTTTTCAGTGAAAAGTTTTCAGTAATTACAAAAAGTGAATAGAAGCTCAATTGTACATTGTCAGATGGAAAAAATTGTACAAAAATAAGATCCCACTTCTCACACATCTGTGCCCAATAGATATGCCTAAATATATAATTGTAACATAAATTTAAATTTTAACCAAATATAAATAAATAAATAAATAAATAAAAAGAAAGAAAGAAAGAAGCAAACCTCTGTCTGAGTGCTGTCCTCTGTGAAGACCTTGTCCATCTCAAATGTCTGGAGGCGTCCACCTTTGTTATTGATGAACAGCAGTCCATCATCATCCTGGTCATAACTGACCACTGACTGAGCCTGCTGACCACTGCCATCTTCACGAATGTTTGGACGGACACGACAGAAAACACGGATGTTTCCTGAAATTGGGGTAGGGATAAAATGAAATGAAGTTCATCCATAAAGAAAGTAAGTTAATATCATGTTTTGAAAAAAAATCTTTTTTCAAAAGACTTTCTCCATTTAATTAAGGGGCATGATGTTTCAACTAGTTTTGTCTTTAGAAACTATTACTTTTATACCATCTTTATAAAAGAGACAATGAAAAACAATAAACCCTCCTTTCAGCTGTTGACTGACAAACTAATATAGTTAATTAGTGATAAATGCAGCTGATACATTGTTTTCAAGCTTTAATTTTGCAAAATACACGAGATTTACTAAAATGGGTCTCATCTATAAATTGTCTACAATGGGGATTGAAAAGTTTACAGTTTTAACTATTGTCTCCAGCAGCGCCATCTACCTTTGAGTTCCACAAGCTCATTGTGGTATTTTTTCCTCAACTGCATCTCCTTCTTGTACTTCCTGACTAGTTCCTTGTTGTACTCACTGACATTATGGACAGCTTTGCTAATCTGTAAAAAATACATGTGGCACAGTCATAACAACGCGATTCTTGTTACTATTTCCAGTCATAAGATCATGTAATGTTTTAATATGTGTTATTGGATTTGTTGAATGTGTCTGTTTTCATGAAATTAAATTTCAACTGTGCATCATTTAACTTCCTTAAACAAACAGCAGACCTGAAAGTTACTCTTAGTGTGACCAATTTTATCACACGTATGCTAAAGCATATAACAATGGCTACCTCTTTCAGTGTCATTCCCACAGTTTGCTTAATGAGGAGAGGAAAGGCAGACATGTCCTTCTTCAATGCTTTGTGCTCCTTTACCTGAAAGAAAGAAAACAAGCTTTTATAGAGGATGTGGTTTTTTACATGATGATATGTCCATGCTACCCTCATGCACAAATGTACTTATATTTCATTAGGTGTCTGATTTAGTGGGTTCACAGGTTAAAATAGCTTGTCACTTGTAAAAAATTTTACTGAAGCAATTTCCATCCCATTTTAATCAAAATGCAAAAATTTCTCACAATTCCTACTTTCTTAATTTAAGGGAAGATGCATACATCCCACCCCCCTTAGCAGGTGAAGATATTCTATAGAGTATATGATAATATACTGTGGAATAGCCTTCTGTAATTATTATTATCACCATCATCATCTTATCTATATCTCTACATTTTAACAATCACCATCCAATATATTCTATAACTACATTAACTGTAATAAGACAAGTTTAACACGTAATAATCCACAGATGATGCTACAATCAAAGTACAAATCAATTACTTTGGGTGACAAATGACAATATAATGTACTGCAAGCTGACTTCCTCACCAGTTGGGTAAACTGAGGCCAGAGCATCTGAAGTCCCAGCTTGGCCCGTGTGTAGTTGGCGTTCAGGGACATCATCTTCTCCTCGGCCCTCTTGGCTGCCTGGTCCACAGCATGAGACTTGGTCTGCTCCAGCTGTTTCATCTCCCTCATCATCTCTGACTTGACAACCTCCATCTGCTTCTCGTACTCCTTTAACTGGATGGGAGGAAGGATTTTAAAACCATTGTGCAATAAATAATTACCTCTGACAGTGAAAAAGGTTGTGTTTTTTTGGCTTTGATAAGTATGCGTGGACATCATATCTCAAAAAGTTCTCTACCAGTTCTAATGAAATATTTTGGATAAACTGGATAAAATTTTCATTGGACCATGCATTTCATACTGTCAACAACACACACTTTCTACCCTAATTGACACGTACCCTCTTTTCAAGATCAGTGACTTTGATTTTCTCTGCAGTCAACTGTTTGTTGCTGTCATTGTACATTCTTTGGTATGTCGTGATCTGATTGCGTAGCTTGTCCTTCTCAGCCATGGCTTCCGCAAGTGCCTTCTTACTGGCCTCAGACTCCACTTCGACCTTCTCAACCTTGGTGTGGACCTGTTGGTCAAGGAGAAACATGCATCAAATCTTGCTTACACATTAGATAACTTGGGGACAGTTTCACATACGAACTTATGACTGAAAGTTGGCTTTGATCTTTAGACCTTTAGTTCTAGTCCTGTGTATCATGGAGAAACATGAATTACATGTTGTTTTGTAGGGGGAAGGGGAGGGGGGGAAGCACAATAGAAATGATGACCAAAAATTCTGGTGTTAATTCCAATTAGGATAATTCAATAGTACTGAAGTAACTATTGGCCTAACACATTGTCCTCCAATAAATTTAGTCTAACTCTGTCTTTTGACTGTTTTAACCCAAAGTCTTCCTCAGTGTAGTTTTATATTTTACATTGAATAAAATTACAAAGCTAAAAAGTATTATTATCATTATTATTATTAGCATTTTTCATATTACTTCCCACCTGAGGTTCTTTGCTCTGTTGGGAGGTGAGATCTTGTCTCATCTGACGGAGCTGCTTGTTCACACCAACATTCTCTGAGGTTAGCCTGTGAATGTCTTCCTTGTGTTTGAGCTTCAAGTCCGAGAGCTCCTTCTGTTTTATAGCACAGTCTGTCTCCAGTTCCAGCACCCTGTTTTTCAAGTGCTCATTTTCTTCTTCTAATTTCTGTTTTTTTTTGTGTGAATGGAAAAAAAGTTGCAGTGTTTCAACAGTTGTTAGACATTACCTTACCACTGAAACTTAAATATGTCACAAATATGTCACAAATATGTCATAAAATATACTGTTTTAACCATATTCAACTGTCACAGTCTTATTCTGTTACAGTAAAAGAGAGTAATTATCACATTTTTTCATGGGTAAGATTGCAATAAAGCAGTCAATGACAAAATCTTTTACACAAACTTTTGAATCTATAGATCAGACACTAAACATTTACAGCATATTTCTTTTACTTGTAAAATTCAAAGAGAATTAACTTCAAGAAGAGTTTCAAAATAAAACCCAAGTCAGGCAAAATTCCCTTTACTTCAAAAATAAACAAACAAACAAATGAATAAATAAATAAATAAATAAATAAATGCTAACAATAAGTAGTTCTAATAATAGTAAAATAATACTATCAAAGTAATAATAGATAATACAAATAAAAATCATTGTAACTGACCTTTATTTTAGCGTTCTCTGCAGCATAATTATAAGGTTGTTTGGGCTGCAGTCTGCGGGACTCGGAAAGCTCCCTCTGCAGTCTGTCACAGTCCTGCTCTAACTTCAACAGTTGTTTCTCTGTGTCTGTGCTGCCATTGCCCTGAAGAGAAAATAAATACCAACTACTATTTTATAATAAATTTCTGTTACAATGTTTGTCTCTAGAAACAAGGACTGAAACCTAAGAGTTATTACCACGGTTAAGACAATGAAATATTGGAGTCACTGTGGAAAAATTGTGAGTTTTAATTGTTTAAAGAAACTATCATAATCATCATTGAACTTTGAGTGCATACCACAGCTTCGGAAATTCTCTGCTGGATTCAAATCTGACTATGGCACCTTGTGTTAATTGTCACATCCAAAAATATGCACTGATTGACCCCAAAATCAGACTGGTTAAACTTAAAATTATATTCAACCTAACACCATCAGAATTGCACTTAAAGGGGATATGATTGTAGCAAGGCTATATATGATGACTCAAAATATACACTGATAACTATATTAAAACATTTACCTGTGAGTTTCTAAGGCCTACTACCTCCTCTTGCAACGACCTATTGTCTTTCTCCAATTTATTTATTGCACTTTTGGTAGTCCTATCCTGTTCCTCTTTCTCTGAGCGGAAATTTTGGAGCTCTGCCTGAGCTGTGAGTAACTGTCCTGTCAGCTCGGCCTTTTCAGACTCTAAATGCTGAATCTGATCAACTAACTTGTTCACCGCGGATGGAGGTTTTGATCTGCGACTTGCATCCCCTGTGAAAAAAAGTCAACTAAATGATGCAAACTATATAAACAGGTTGAAAAATCATCTACTAGTAGCCTCAAAAGAATGCTACACGTTCAACATTACTGATGAATATATGCTTATCAATATGCAACATTGATTTGTAGGCATATACATTATACCAAGTAGATTTCATACAAGATACTTTTTTCCTCAAACTTGCATGTACATGCATAGGCATGTTTATACAAGCATGCACGCACTCACAGGCAGGCACAAACACAGGCCCACAACATGCTCACATACATCATGTAACAGCCTATTACCTTTAATTTCTGCTTCCAGTTGGAAGATTTTAGCTTCCTGTTCATCTATGACATCTTGTAAGTTTTGGACTAGGTTTTGTTTGGCCTCTAAGTGAGATTCGTGCGTTTTCCTCATGATCTTGATTTGCTGTTTCTTGTTGTTCTCCTCTTTGACAAGACGAGCCTTGTAATTCTTTCCTTTGTCATTCAACATCTGAAGCAGAATAACATCATTATTTTAATGTTTACTACCTTTTCTCTTTATTTTTTATGACAAATTTAAGTAATTTTAAAATAAGCTGAGAATATTTAAATATAAAAAGAAAGTTTAACTTTTGTAATCATATATCTTCAAACTCTAATCTTGAATTGTCCATCTTCTGAAGACTTCTTTGAATGCTCTGATTTAAAAAACCTGTGCATACATATTTAGAAATGCCTTCTTTTTGTCCTCACCTTAATTTTGTACAACAGTTCATCTCTCTGTGAATTCCTCTCCTCCAACTCTTTCTTCAGGGCCTGGTACTCTATCATAGAACAGGTCTCTAGAATAATAATAATAATAATAATAATAATAATAATAATAATAATAATAATATCCATCAAAGATTTAGTTATTCATTTATTATAAAAATAATCAACGAATAAACATGATACACAGAATAAGGACAATGAAATCTTTGATACTGTTATAGAAGAATTTACTAGCAGTCCTCTATCAGGCTAAGATGTTAGCCCCAAAACTGACTTTAGACTTCCAGTAAAACCAGCCCCAGATGGCTGAGTGGACTTGCTCACCCTGTGGCTGATACTGCTCTAGTTCTTCTTCATCAGAGCTGGGCATGTCCGGCTGACCATTACATCCATACGGGTCATCTGGACACAGAACAGAGAAATACAATGTCAGCAATATAATAGCATTTTAATCAAATTATTCAAATATAAATTGTGTATTTTCAAATGATAAATAAGTAGAAAAAATAAACCCATACCAAAAGCATAAATCAGACTGATAAACTGAACTTTTTACAACTTTTTATACTCCTCTGATAAGATATGAACCCCAAATATTGACAAATTTCCAATCAGTGAAATTTGTGATAAAACATGTGGTTCTATTTCAATGTTAGACTATCAAGATCAAATTTTTCTCGAACAAAAGTAACATTATAAGCTTTTTAAGGACATAACAGTACATGTACAGGTTTATTTAGCCTTTCCTTACCATCTAAGCCTAGCTGTTCCCTCCACACATCAACTCTGGATGGGGATGGTCTTGCCTGCTCTCCTACCAAACGAGGACTGAAAGTCATAGGTGTCTTGAACACTGGCTCCCTGTGCTGTGAGAGAGAAGATGAAAAAAAAAATTAAAGCTGACAGACACTTATTTATTTGTTGCGCCTTCCTGGCATATTTACCATATTCATTGGAAACCACAGTATATAATGAAAATGTTGTAATTATTCTTTTTACTTTTTATAATCAACCAATAAAATCTACTACAGTTAACTATAAAATCAAATCTCCCAGTTCAATAGCAATAGTACTTGCACAAATCTTCATGTTCAATGAGATATTTACTCCTTTTTTTTCTTTTTTTTTTGGCCAAGAATGAAGCATATTCAATAATTCAGGGCACTGAGATGTTTTGAACACAGTAACTGCTACATTTCTCAACTATTTCTCCAAGTCAATCTGACCAATTTACTGACATTTCACTAAATAAATTAGGACTTTAGCAGGGATTAACTTTAGAAATATTTTAGAATAATCTTAAGCCAAGGTAAGATGCAAATGCCTGCAAATATTTCAATAATAATCTTAAGTCATATCTAATTACTTGTGGCACTTAAGGGAAATAATTCTGTTAAGTCTATTTGACTGCAGGTGTGAGACAAAACCATGTATAAATTTGAACAAACTAGTGATATATTTTCAAACAAAACAGTTTTGACATTTATATACCTGAGTATTAAGGGATAAAAAAAACTCTGAAACTGAGCTGGGTTAAAGAAAGGTTTTTGTCAGTGTCTCAAAATGACTGGTCTTGAAAAAAATAATTGACAAGTAGAATAATTAAAGCCAATTCAGAGTAACAATTCCAGTATCAAACAGGCACTTAAATGTATACTGAGAGTGGCAAACAACATTCTGCACTCTGCGGTTATTGTCCAGAACATAAAAAATCACTCAAAAATGACGCCTTATAGTACTGTGACACAGTCTGGGATTCATTATCAAAAATTCATGTGTAAATTACCCCCAGTTTGGAGATTAAAGCAGAAAGATTAGTGAGTAATTACTTTAGCACAGATAACGCTGGTCAAATACCAGGTCTATCATGTAAGTAGCAGGAACTGGCAGAACAAACAGATGAGTGCAGGTAGACTACATACAAACAGATCACTGTGTTAATATGTACCAAGGTGACACATGTTAAGTGCAATGCCTGTTGTAATAATGAGAATAACATGAAAGGTACCTGTAAAATAATGAAATGTTGGCATTTATGTAAACACTTAAATGTGATGTTGACTTAATGTGTGGGTGTGGAGAGAGAAACAGAGAGAGGGAGAGAGAGACAGAGCACTATTTTACCTTCAATCCCATCATATGAGAGGGGGTGCCCCCTTGGTACGCCATGTCTTCTCAGTTTGGTTGCCTCAACTTTAACTATCTTCTCCAATGAAGACGCTGACTGTGGAAACCTCAATGGTCCTTCTCTGCTGTAGTTTTTTTAACAGTTAACAGCTCAGCTGTTCACCTAAGCTACCACAACTCCACCCACAGTTCCATGGAGACTCCATCTACATTCTGCTTCAACTGTAAAAAGTCTCAAATACTCAACATTTTCTCCAAGTCCCAAAGGTCCACCAGCTTGTACAAAGTCCCTAAAACCTGCTCTATATAATCACTGGTTCCACTTGTTTGTGCTCCTTTGTATAAGTTCTTCACAAATATTCAGGATTTTCAAGGGCCCACCTTCATGTGGTGGACAGACGGCTCATGGCCCACAGCTAATTTCTCTCTGGAAGGTAGAAAAAAAATGTCATTTTAAATTAGGTGATAATATCAGAGGCTGGGTATAATAAAGGCACAGCCAGCACTGGAGCTGGGATGTTTGTGTTGTTATTATTACTGGGTGACTCATCCTGGTATACAATACCTGCACTTGTACATATATTATTAACCTGGATTTTTTATTTTAATTTAAAATCTTCATTTCACAAACCACACTATTTAAAGTCAGTATGAGTATTAGCTTCTGAATCAACCCTATCCCACCTGTACACCAAAATTGACTGAGTCGGAATTCTCAAATAATATAAACAATTAATGCCATGAAAAAATATCAAGCTGAGGGTCAAGTCAAAGTTCTCGTCAATAAGACCTCAACTTTGTGATCTCAGACAGCTAAAAATGTGAAGAAATGACAGCATGTACAACCCATGTATTGCACACAGTCACCCCACCTACATCTATTACTCCTTTATTTTCTTAGGATTTTCCCGTTGATTTGTCCGTCACAATGGCCCTCCGTGCAGTGGAGGGTGCGTGCCCTTTGTTCCGCTTACATTACAACAGAGTTCACCTGTATTACCTGAGCAAACACACTCCATGGCCAGCTTCTAGTACATGTGACCAAAGCACATAGACTGATAAACAGGCTCTCTCCTTCATGTCAATTCACAAAATGAAAAATTTTACAGCGGATGTACAAGTTGGGGGTTAGGAGCTAAAACTTATTTTACAAGCTTTGGTGTATTTTTTACTTCTATTTAAAAACAGACTGGCAGATCTAGTTTTCTCAATGGTTTTTAAGGAAAAGGCATATCAAGGGAAAAAGCTTGACATATTTAGGAAAATCGCTCTTCCTATATTAAGGTCCAACATGTAAATGGCATGCCTTTCGTTAATTATCCAGTCTCCAATGTCTAAACCCTTTTTAATGGTTCTACAGACCAATGCAGCCAATTGAAAGTGGAAATGATGGAAGTATCTATTAATGCATGCATTTACCTAGTACTTTCTAGTACAGAAGCAATGAGCATAATGCTTAATCAATCTCCAATCCAATAAGTCATGATGGTAAATCAATTGACTGGGAGAGCTTCTTTCTAATTAAAAGTACATCAGGGGCATGTTTCATAAAAATAACTTATGCTCAAAAACTGGTCCAAACTATTAGACAAAAACTGACCCATTTTCATTAGTGACAAACTAAATTCATTTTAACAGTCATTTATTCATGTATTTATCTATTAACTCATTTCACATCTTCATTCATTCATTCATTCATTCACATATCTATGTGTTAATTCCCCTTTTTTTTGATGGGGTGGGGGTAGTATTGTTCATAACATACTAGACCATCAATCAACAAATTTTAACTGCATACAATACAGCACTAAAGCATTCCTAACCTCAGTAAGGGTATCAGGAATGGATTTAACTGTGTCAAAATGGCATTTGATGACAATATCGAATTTCACATCATATTTATAATCCATAGCAACTACCAAACTGGACACTTCTTATGGATACCACAGTATTTAGAAGACCTTGGTAGTTTTGTGACAGAGGATTGGATTACACAACATATACTAGCACAGCAGAACATTGTATCAAACTTTTTCTATTCTTGAAAGCAGAACCTCTACATTATTTGATGGTGGATACGAGGAATCTGCTTGATAAAATTATATTATAATCCCCTGAAACTGATCAGGTAGTCCCCATGGTGACTAGTCCCAAATAAAAACAAGATTTAAAAAGTTATGGTCTCAGTTTATGGTTACAAGTACTAATTTTAATAGAGAAGCAAGAGACAACATTACTGGGTCTATGTCAACTTCACATTACTTTACTAGTATTAAATAGTTTTAGTCCTTTTTCACTTACTTTAACCCCCTTTACACTGGATGGTGTCCTTTCTGCGAACATGAAACTGCCATTGTGGTGGTCGTAAAAGAAGTCACAAGCATTGCTTTGGTTGCAGAATGAATGCATGACGATCGGCCAGTTGTCGACGCATGAAGTATTTTTTTTACTCTCAAACGGGGGCATACTAGAGGAGGCAGAAAGGATGGGATATTTTCCCAAAATAAATTTAATTCTGGATTTTTTGCTGTGACACATCTTTAAATTTTCTACAAGTATTGACCATGAACTTGTGGTTATTCAATCCACCGGGCACTCAAAATTAGAGCAGACTGTTTGAAACTTTATACCATAAATTAGTTGGTATAAAATACCTCCCTTGTTTCTTTTGCACATCTTTCACTCCTGCACAGCAGTTGCTGATAATGGGGGGGGGGGGGG